ACGAGTTTGCGCAGCAGCTTGCAGACCACTTTCCACCGTTGCCTGGCATTCTGTACCACAAGTCCCACAAGTTGCCACCTCCACCAGAGGTTCTTTTTTTGCAGCTGGCCGATCTTTCATGGGACGCGAAGAGCAGCACCAAGCCACCCCCTTTTCGGGTCACGACTATGAGCTTGTTGGACGAGTTTCTCACGAACACCTTCCTGACATCGGGCGACCCCTTGCTTCTTTGGCAGTCTGCTGATCCTGGAAGCAGTGTGGCCTGGGCCCACTATGTCAAAGGAGCATGCCGCTCGGCAACGGCTTTGCTCCTTGCATCTTTGTGCATGCGCTACCAGTGGGACATCGGGAACCTTTCGCCCCCTTTGCAAGAATCGCTGTGCAGTGTGTGCGTGCAACAGGCCACATGTGGCAGTGACATTGCAAGCGTGGCGCTGGCGAACGCCCGATTGAGCTACCGCGGAAGCTTGCGGAAACCGCACTGTGCGCTGACCTGGTTGGGCAAGCTCTGCCTGTTGAAAAGCAAGGGCATCGCTCCATCGGTGATCCTGAAGGAGTGGAACCAGTCGTGCCCCAGAGAGGCGCAGATCAAAGGTGCAAAGAGCACCTCGCTTCTGGCGTTGCTGAACTTGGAGGACGAGGCCATCAGCTTCTTGTCGCAGCACGTGAGTGAGTTCGGATCTGGTGGAAGTGCGTTCACTGAGACTTGCTGGTCCAACAGAAAGATCATGCCAGGCAGCGGCCCCAAAGGATACCCCAAAGAATGGAACTCGCGGCTGACCATGTCTTCTCGTGGCTTTCTGCTCATGCTGAAGTACATTGATGTCACACATCGGAAGAAACTTCTTGGCGCCCGCAGCAAGTTGAGCAACACTCAGATGGAGGATGCCGCGATGCTTGTTCAGCTCTTGGTGTCCCTTGTGAATGAGTTGGAAGAACAGCTCCCGGTGACACCACATGTCATCGAGACAGAGGTGATTCAGCTGCTCATGAACGGTGATATGAACCTGGAGCTGCAACTCCAGGGGGCCCTCTCGGAGAAGCAAAGCAATCTGAGCCCGGCAGACATCCCGACTCTGAAGGCCGTCATGCAGAAGCACGTTTCCGGCTCAGAGGCCAAGCTGCACCAGATCGGCCAAGGAGCGACCCTCATCCAGCCAGGTCAGATTGAGCGGCAGGAATTTGACATGGCCATGGCCAGCTTGAAGCATGACGCTGATGTGTACCGGGTGTGGCTCACGCGCAGCAAAGACAGAGATGCTGCAATGTACCACCAGACCTTGCAGTGGAAGCTCACCCGTTCCAGTCGGGCAAAAGAGTACGCGTGCCACTTCTTGGCACGCAGCTCAGAGCACTGGCGCATGGAGTTTGGCGTGCTGAGCTCTGCAAGTCAAGCTCAGAAACTGGTGTTCGAGTGCATGAAGCACATCTCCCGACTTGAGCACGTTGCTTCAGACAACATCCTTTGCGTTTGCCTCTTGAATTGGGCAGCCCCAAATCTGTTCACTTCGGCATTGCAACGCGACCAGGCTGCGCTTATGGGAGGCCTATGCAACTCTTCAACCAGCAGCTGCATCGGAGTGTTTGTGGCGCCAACGTTCACCTTCCAGCGTGGCAAGCTGTACCTCACAGAGAAGCATTGCCATGAGCTTCTTTCTGGTTCGAACCTGAACTTGGATCACCTATGTGTGCTGCCGTTCAAAGGTCGTAACGACGACCGCGAACGGCGGTCATTGGTGCAAATGGCTCGGGTGTGCCAGCCCATGGACGAGGCCTGTGCCAAGCAGACCAGCGAAGCATTCAGAACTTCCAGCCTTATGAGAAAGCCACTTCTAGATGAAGCAGACCTTTTGCTCACAAAGGAGATGATCCAGATTGAGGACATGGAGGAGACGGCCTTGCCATCGTCAACAGACTCCGCAACTCATGCGTCCCAGGCAGAGAAGGCGCAGCAGTTGGGGGTTTCAGCTGCAAGAAGCATTGTGAGGGCCTGTGCCCAGCATGAGAATCCTGCGCACAGTGGCCGGGTTGCTCACCTTTTCATTGACCTGAGCCCCCACACACTGGATTTCGCCAGAGCAGTCGCGCTTGAAAGGGGAAATCAGCCGATCTTCTACTTGGGTTTGACGAGGGACGTCAATGAGGAGGAGTGGTCCAAGTGTTTCATGCGTGACTTTCTTGCAGATGGTTTCCTGGATGGTTCCTTGACCTTGCCCAGCAACATGTCGTTGCCACCAGGCGAGGTTCCCAGTGACATGCACCAAGCTGCTCCTCCTTTGCCCAACCTGCACAGCTTCGTGCTGAACAAGTCTCAGAAGATGGACGGCCTTCCTACTTTGAAAACGCCAGACAAGGTGCTGGCACAATGGAGCGAGCATCCCCGATTCAAGACGGAGTTCCTTGAGTTTTTGGCAGATGTGCGATCCACTTTGCCAGTGGATTTGGCCACAGACAAGAACAGCAACGGCAAGCGCGAGCACGAAAATCCTGCACCCGTGCCCAACAATGCCAAGAAGCCGAAGCTTGAAGTTGGCATTGGAAGCCCCGGCGCCACACCTGATTGCATTCCCGTGGACACTCTGCCAACTCCTCTCACATGGGAAGCAGACTTGCACCTAGCCAAAGGCAAGGGCAAGGCCAGCGTTGTCATCACCTTGGGCTCCCGCATCTGGCTCGTCAACCGCAGTGACAAGCCGGTCACCTTGGACAAGAACACAGTCGTTGCCGGCTTCTACAAAGGCAAATGGTGGCACAAGAAGCCAACCGACTCTCAGGAGCCCGCATCTTCAGACATCCTCTTCTCGCTGCAGGATGCTGATAGTCTTGTCCAGATTCAGGCCCGGGCGCACACCTTGGGCGCATGCGTGCAAGAGCGGCGCAAAGT